CAACAACAACAACAACAACAACAACAACAATTACTAGCACGTGGGGACACTCCGTTCTCACCAGTGCCAGGGTTTTCATAGGAGGCGGGCAATACCCCCACTTTGTGGGGGGGCCGGTTCAAGCTCTACCAAATTTCCAAACGACTCTTCGCCACCACCCACACCCAGCTTCCCGCCCTATGACGTTCGGACACTTCACTTCGTGGCATGCGGACGACCGTGGCTACTATTCAGGGCCCCGCGGCCGACGACGACGGCGTGCGCGCGCGAAGAAAAAACGAATGTGTCCCGCATGGTATTATTTGACAGGGATGATGGCCCTGGCAGGTGCGCAACCGTTGTTGCAGAAGTTCGAAAAAGTTGCTCGCAAAAGCCCGTTTGACAGAAATGTTTAAAAAGTGTTGGGTTTCCTACGAATCCGCAAGAGCGCGCGGGATGAAATTTTGACAATTTAAAAAAAAAAAAAAAAAAAAAAAAAAAAAAAAAAAAAAAAAAAAAAAAAATTAAAAAAAAAAATTTTTTTTTTTAAAAAAAAAAAAAAAAAAAAAAAATGGTTTTTTGATGTTTTTATGTTAAAATCGCTACGAAAACTAAGGTTTTGGAAGGATTTCGTCTTGCGCGCGCGAATGTCCACTTTACCTTATTTTTTGCAAGGGATTCTTAAAGTTTGGTTATGTTAGAACAAGAAATGTCCACTTTGCCTTATTTTTGCAAGGGAAAACCGCCCGTAACAAAACAACCGGATCCTGGATCACATCGTTTTGCCTGAGACTTCCTCACGAAAATGATGAAAATGTGGCTGCGGCCTAGGCGCGGCGAGGGGGCCGTGCACCAGGGGCCCCAACAATAATTATTCTTTAGAAGTAATAATGTTCAACAACAACAACAACAACAACAATCATTTTACCCGAACGCTCAGTGTTCTCCCCAGTGCCAGGGTTTTCATGCGACGCCAGCCAATACCCCCACTTCGTGGGGGGGCAATGCAAGCTCTACCAAACATCCACACGACTCTCGGGAACCACCCACACCCAGCTTCCCGCCCTATGACGTCAGGACACTTCACTTCGTGGCGCGCGGACGATCGTGGATACTACACTGGCGTGGAGTACACACCCGCAGAGGTTGATCACTTGTTTGGGCCCCGCATGTGCCCCGCATGTTGCATTTGTTGCGCATGACATACATAGTACAGAGAGACAGAGAGAGAGAGAGAGAGAGCAAGACAGAGAGCCATACCTTCTTCCAGTTGAACTGGTGCGCGGCGCCATACCGCTCCTGCTGTACGGAGGTCTTCAATACGACGATGCTCAGAGCACGACATTCGTCCACGGTCATCTCGTGCATACAGGGTCCACTGGTGTGGTCCAGCGAAAACTGCCCAAAGGAATACCGAGGCCAGCTGATACACTCCTTTGCCTCGTAGCCCGACTTCGTGGCCAGGGGGATCCTATACAGCTCCGACGTCTTTGCTACCTTGAGGGCCTTGCCGTGGTTCTGCATACGCCGGTTGAACTTCTCGAGAGGGGTCTCTTTGCCAGAACAGCAAGGGCATGTGGCAACCACAGGCGTATACATGCCTGGCTTATACCACCATCTCGAAGATATACCAACTTGGCCACAGGCGTGCACCACCGGGTCGTGCGGTACTTGCCGACGATACGCCGCCAGCATGTCTGGTTGCTCCGACGTGCTGCGGTCCTGATATACACGATTCGAGAAATACTCGTCATTAAAGAAGAACGAGCCGCAGGCCTCGCAAGCGGACCAACTCCCGTAGCACACCCAAAACGCAAAGTCCGTCAAATTATACTGCTTCTGGTAGGTGGCCTGGATACTGGTGAGTAATGACATGGACCAAGACTGTCGCTCAAATACCTCCTGGCACTTCAACATGGCATACGCAGCAACAAGACAAGCGTCCGCCGCCATTTTCGGGAATACTATGCAACGGTCAGCTGTCGCCACGCTGCAAGCTCTCGCATACCAGCCGTGTTCTTTGTCGGAGATACACGCGTGCGCAGTCCTGGGCAGCACCTGGCCCTGGAAGGTCTTCTCGTAGGCCTCCAACACAGGGCCTGGCAGCACATCCTTGTATACGAAGGCATCTGGATACTCGAGAGCCAACCTGGCATGCCGTTCGTGTTCTCCAAAAAATACCGCAAGATTGTGCAAAGGCACCAACTCTTCCGCCACGCCCAAGCGCTCACATAAGGATATACGCACAGTCTCCAGAGCAGATCTGGCCCGGGCGCGCAGAGAGGGAGCAACCCCCCGGGTGTGCCCGAGCTTGCTATCCAGAGAGACCAAGGAATACAAGAACTCCCACTCGTGCTGCTCCAGGTGGTCGCTGGTCCAGTATTCGCCACGCTGCTCGCGATAGCGACGATACGCTAGGAGCCGCTGCGTGGTCCTGCAATCCGATGTCGTCATCGTCGTCGTCGCTCTCGTCGTCAACGTGGTCGTCGACGTCGCCGTCGCTCTCGTCGTCATCGTCGTC